CTTCTGCTTGTTGTTAACCCACCTGCCAAAACCCTTTCCTCTTATCGTAGACTCTTTATAGGGATCAACAGGACTTGGATCTTTTGTTTAGAAATCCACAGAAATAAAACCTGGCACTGGCAACAGTTCTCTGGATGTCCCCATGTAGTGTGCCCAATTCCAGACTGAGAAACAAACGCTATGCTCAATACCTGTTCAAACCGCTCAAGTGACCCCCGGAGCCCCCTTTTACTTCAAGGGCTCACCTTGCAGTGCCTCACCTTGGTCCTGCTCACGCCCTCTCTCCCAAGATCAAGGTGACCTCCCAGGATCCTCTACAGTCCCCAAGGCCTATATCTTGGAATGCCATGGAGCACATACCGCATGGGACAAGCCCAAGTCCATTGAACAGGTTAATTCTAGGACACGTTTTCTGCCAACACCAGTTCCAGATCTTTCTGGTGAGATGACTGAGGCCACTTCTTCCTCAGCAGTTGAGAGATAGTCCAAACTACAGACCAGCAGTTTTCCATTCAAAAGATAAGTCTGTATGGGAATAAACAATGAAGAGACAAATACTCCCGTAAATGAGATTGTGCTTTGTTTTCTCTCTAGGAGAGCAGGAGGTTTCATATTGAAATAACTCAACATGAGATTCCTGTGGCCCAGTTAGGATGGTCCTTGGTTCTCTGGTCCTCCCAGATTTCTTCCAAGCATCTGACCCCTTAATCCTGCTCCCTATATCCTCGCAGGTCTCACTCTGCCCTGACCTCAGGTCTGGGCCTCCCCAGGTTGACTGTCCTTGGCTTTGAGCCTCATTTCTTTATGGCTCATGACCACTCACATTGACCTTGAATGTCATTCATAGCCTTTGCTCAGAACAAGTGTCCTCTTCAGACCCCTATTCTGGAAACTGGATGTCTGCCTGGGTCATCTCCTTGGGACCAGCCATCCAACCCTGGTCCTACCCACTCACTGCCCCACCCCCCTGCCTGCCTGCCTCTCTGATTAGCACGCAGAGCTCTAACCATGCCAACTCCTGGACTCACCACTTGTCCTGCTCTGTGTGGACTGGAAGGCCCAAGCCTCTAGCCCCATGGTCTTGACCTCTTCTCTGCCAGTTAAAGGTCTTTCCAGCAACACCTGCTTCAGACTCGTGCATCAGCCTCATCCAGGCTCCTGGGTCCCAGTTGTTATCCAGTGTTCCTTGTCCTCACTAGCACACAAATCTGTGACAAGATATGAATCTTTAGTGAATACGTGGGAAGATCTCAAAGAATCTAAAAAGGAGAAGACAACACCTCCTTGTGACATAAGTGGTGAAAATAAACCCAACTTCAGAGCCGAGAGTGGCTCCTTGATGTACAGCAAAAGCAGCTGTGCCTGTGCGCCTCCTAAGCAGGGACAATGGCTCTTGCTAAACAAGGACGAGTCCTTGGAAAAAGGCTGTGAGCAGAACAGAGAGGAAGCATGTTCAACGTATTGCTTTTCCTTCCTTTGATGGTAGGAGAAAACTCACCTGGGATGAAAACCTTCTGCCTTGCTCTGTGCTGGATTAAGTGGAGCGCCCCCGGCCCTGGGAGCTGCTCCGAGACCACTGGGTAGCCCCGCCCAAGGAAGCTGCACGTACCCCAGCCTTGGCAGGGTCGCCAGGACAACAGACCTGGGAACCCATCTTGCCCTCCACTCCCTTCTTTTTTTTCCACTCCTCCATCTTCCCTCTTTCTTGTTCCCTTTGTCCAAGAACTTTCTAGCAGTGCTCTTGTAGACAGGCAGCCACAATGAGGACAAATGTTTCGGGACTCTCTTTTTCCAGGGAAGTGGTGGCTAAAGACCTCGTAGGATGGACACAGCTGCAGGTCCCAGTCCCAGTACAAAGCTGCGGTGATGTCAGCATGAGCCAGCCACTTAAACTGCCTCCAGTGTCACAGGTCCCATTGGCAAGTACTGAGTCATGTCAGCTCATGGCTCCATTTTCTGATGAATGAATAAAACCAACGTTCTACCTTGATGATAAAAAAATAAATCCTTGCAGATTAAGTACAGAGTTAAAGTCGTGGAATTGGCATGTTAACTAGAGGATTGTGAAATTGTAAGAAAGCCTGGGCTGGCACTGTCTCGTCCACCTGTTTCTTTGGATAGGCTTCGTCAGTATAGGCATCAAGGAGTTAAGGGAAGAAAGCTAACTTGCACATGACACAGAATGATGTGAAGATTTATAAAAGAAGTAACCTCGATGTACCCCGGTTAGTGTGTGATGTTTTATAAGGAAGGGATTTAACACAGGAAATCAGGTGCATGTCAAAGTTTTGGAAGGATGGGAAGAAACCAGCTATGTTTCAGGAACTTGAGAATTGTGGTACCCACAGGAAGCTGCTCCCACCTGGGTTACCGCAGCCTGCAGCACTAAAGCAGGAACTTATTCTTCCGGAGCTGGATGCGTGGCACCTGCCCATGCCCCAACTCTCTGCGTCCAAAAGAGGATAACAGGTTCTCCCTCCTTGCATCTTCCAAATCTCAGTCAAGTGCTTCTTATGGGTCAAATATAAACCAGAACCTGGTGACACCTGAGCCAGGGAAATGCTTTGTCAGGCTGCCAGCCGCTGCACTTTGGGGAAAAGTCTAGAAGGGCCACAGTAATGCCGATGACGAACAATCAATATCTGATGTGAACATATAGACACACATGCCATGCACATGTTGTACAGTGTGGAAGCTTCTCTTTGGGCTTGGGACTAGCTCTCCAGCCTGGAACTGACCAGTGTCTCAGGGCTGTGCCTGTCTCTACTTTGGGGTTCTCCGCCCTCCATCTCTGAGCAGGGCCCATTGCCAGCTGCTAAACCTGACACAGGAGCAACTGCTGGCGCTGCTGGCACTTGCTGTCTCCTCCCGCCTCCACCTCTGTCTTTGTACTGACTCACTCCTGCAAACCCACCATTCTCAGAGAAGGAAAAGCTGCTCCCTGAGCAAGAAAACCAAACTCATTCCGCAGGAAAATGCCACCCTCTCCCTAAGGATAAAAGGGACTGCGTTTTCGATTCCTTGGTGAGAAGGATAACTTACGGCTGTACCATTTAGGTTCAGCCCAGGGAGCATAAAGAGATCCACTTTCCACTGTCCTATTCTACTTCAGACCACTCCTTCCACCCTGCTGGGGGCCTCTCCGAGTGTGCTCTGGGACCAGCGTGTCCTGGCCCTTGCACATGGGTATAAACACGCATATTGACAAACCCGTTTCCCTTGGTGTGGACAACAATCTGTGCAGTATGGAAGTGGCTAGTCTTCCTTTTCCATGTATGATGAGATGAAGGATGCAGAGAGATTCGGCTCCTTGCTCAAGGGCACCATCCTTAAATGTCAGAGGTAGCATCAGAACCCCTTTCTTCTGATCCTTAGCCATGAGCTCTCGCTACAGACCAGCAGAGATTTAAGAGCGGGAGAAAAGATGAAACAATCACGGTATTTGCTGCTGCCTTCAAAGTGGGCTGGCTCACTTGGTGACACTCGGCGGTTCTTTCTCCGCTGTCCCCACACCCTCAGTCCTCAGCAGTGTTCACTGCTGGCGTATCTTTTCAACAAATAGGAAAGGTCACGCAGTATTAACGTAACCAGTAATTCAGTGTGCGCCTTACATGATGCTTTACCATTTTCTTTCCATGTAAGCGATCATTAAAATTGCCCCCACTTGACCCCAGCTATCCACAGAAAATGGACAGCTTTTTAATTAATGACTTCCGGTTGCTGTAGTGTAGCGTCTAGCTAATTACCCAAAGTGCTTACCTTATGCTAACGAGATCACAAAATTTTGAATATTGTACGCACTGTGTTAAATTTTGCTCTTTACAATCAATGATGAATCTAAAGTGGATGACTGGTGATTCTGTCAAATCATGATGAGTCTATGTCGCTCAAATTAAACAAGTATAACCCTTGGGATTGTAGTCCTGAGGGTGGAAGAATTGGCTCACTATTATTCTGTTTAGCAAGCTCGATCAAATTTATAAATGGTGTAACCCTTCAAGTTAGGTTCATTTTCTGATTAAAAAAAAGACAATGTTTTTCAAATGCACTTAAGCTTTATTTCTGTCTTCATTAGGGCCTTTTAATAACGAGGCTTCTTCTGTCTCTCCCAGATAGGAAGTAATAGATAATCCTTTCCAGCTATTTCATTGAGACAGCTTAACAATGTAGTTACATTTCATATTGTAATTCTTCAGTACAAATGTGTCGAATATTACAAGTGTTTTTCTGGTGAAAGTTCTTTGAGGAAAGGAAAACATCTGTGTTTTTGACATGGACAGTGCTGTAACTTTCTCACATTCTATCAGCATTTTATTAGATTGTTAGTATTCTATAACACAGTTTTACACAATTTATAACTCCCATAGCATTTTGAGATTTCTTGGATTTTGGCCTTATGGATATATTTTTTAAATCCTCATTTATTTAGTTAGTTATTTAAATGGCATTAAGTGATAGTAGCAGTGCGTGTGTTTCTAGACCGGCATCTGACCGCACTTGGGAGAGAAATCTGCGGTACTTGTGTTCTCTTTATATACTCAAATATATGTAGCCAGTGAGGTTCTCAAATGCCATATGCCTGAAGCAGTCCTTCTTTACGTTCATATTAAATCACTGGGGACACATGGAATTTATGTAGTGCCATGAGAGGTGCCTACTGTAGCCATTCTACTGGGATGTCTTGGAATAATTTATCAGCTACTTAACACTCATTAAATTTGGCTTTTTATGTAGAAACTGTCTGTAAGGCCTCTTCCTCTTCATCTCAAGAGTTTGAAATACTGTTATTTTAAATAAATGTGTTTCTCTCCAAACAAGAGCTTCAATGTTGGAGGAAAAAAATAAAAACAAACTCGCTGTTTCACATGACTGTCCTTTGTGATACAGGCTACATGTCTGCGTCCGTCACTTTGCTTGACTAGTCCGGGTGAACTCGAGCCCATCGCCTCCCGTACATATTCTTGGTCGCATCACGGTTCCTCTTTTTTATTCTATTCCAGGTGCTGGGGTTCCCCAGTTCCAACCAATTGCCCTGAATGGCCGAATTCAGGTCCTCAGCAACGGGTCTTTGTTGATCAAGCACGTGGTGGAAGAAGACAGCGGCTACTATCTGTGCAAGGTCAGCAACGATGTGGGCGCGGACGTCAGCAAGTCCATGTACCTCACGGTCAAAAGTAAGGAAGAAGAAAGCTTTGTTTTACCTAATTAGGGCTTTGGGGCTTAAGTGTTCAGTTGTCTCCATACACATTTGTTTCAAAACAAAACAAAGATAAAACGTTGGCTCGATATGGCTGGTTTGACGTTTTGCTGTCCCAGAAGCACCATTGAAGTGGAGGGTAAAACTCTAGCCCACTGTCCCCTTGAGTCTGGGGCATGGAGCCCCGTGTTTCTCTCCCTTGGAGTCCCATGGCCGCTGGTACCGGCTCTGGGCAACCCGGCAGAGGAGTGGGTGTCTGCCTTTAGCACCCACATGTCTATCCTGTTGGTTTTGTAAAGGAAAAGCCCAATATGTGGCCTCAGATGTGTTCATTTCAAGGTTTGTTTTCATACATTTTATTATTTGCAAGCTGGTTTGTTTATAGATTTCGTTTTTAAGATTTTCCTGAAATCCATCAGCCGGAAAGTTCATTACCTAAAACACACAACTACAACAAGACAGAAACGTGTAGCACTATGCTTAGAGTTCATGGTGTTGACCTATTTTAGAGGAAAAGACACCTTATAATGAAGTTATTTTCATACGTTGGTAACTGAACCTCCAAAGAAAGGACATAAAGTGGACCAGCTTTTACTGAATGCTGCTTATTAGCAAATGGTTGTTTATCGAGTTTATTGTGAATGACATATCTTTCTTCATTTATATGATTTTCTATTGGATAAATTGTGATTTACTGACTACAGACTTTGATCAGCCTTCCTGTTTTATTTGAATTGTGTGTTTGATAGATTGCAAAAGATCTCTACCATCTCATTTATTAGGAGCATAGGATTTAAAAGTGAATTTCGATGGTGTGCATTGCATGATATTTAAAGGCTAGCTACGCAAAGACTAGTATCCATGCCATTTCATTAATAGTTTATTCTAGTTAGTCTAGTATTTTCAACAGAACTATGAAAATATCAAGCTATGTCTTTGCTATATGTTTATATCATGGAAAAAAAATACAGTTCTGAAATAGGGCTGCTTCAGTATACATTTGCACATATCCAATGCATCATTTGACTTCTAAATTTTCTCTGGAGAAACTGACTTGTAAGAATCTGAAGACAAATTGTCTTATCACTTAAATTCAAAGTTGAAATGAAAACATAATAAATTGATGAACTATTAAGGAAGCTCAAAAACTGAGGACCAATGGTGATCAATGTCAATCTATCTTTTTCCAACAAAAGAAATACATTTTGCAATTGCTTTGATATATTTTAAACTTATAAAACATTTTTATTCCATGTATAGAGACATATGCAGATAGGTGATAGATAGATAGATGATAGTTAGATATTCTAATATATACAAGCCCCTTTAAAGGATGTAAATATGCTCAACCATGGACTTTACCCTCATGAATGAAAGAGCTTATGTTTGGAAGAGGAGATAATATGGAAGTATACAGAGTCTACCAATTTTAATGCAAGATGAAGGATAACATGGGCCATAGATGTGCTTTTCAGAGGTGGACAGAACTGTCAGCTTGAGGGGATGAAGAAAGCTTCATGGGAAGAAAAAAATCTTAAAGAATGAGTGGAATTTTAAAATGCATAAATTGAAGATTTTCCCCACGTCTCCTCTCTTCATACCTTTGGTGCTGGTAGTAGAGGATGGGGAAGGACCACACAGAAAGCGCCCCCGCCCTTCACGAGCTTTCTGTTGTGTGGCAATCGGGCATGGGTGTGTCCAACTCCTGTCCAGCAGGACACTCTCATGTCATAACACAGGGCTTACAGACAAGGTATGGCATGTATTTGTAGCATCAATGACTATGGAATGAAAAGCTGTGGCATCTGAGTACAGCCCTGAAGGATGCAATGGATTTCAAAAGGTAGAATTGTTTCGGGTAGTAGAGGCACTCATGTGAGAGGGAGCAGAGGGAGCAGATATAAGGAATTAAAAGACCCAAGGCAGGAAGTAACTGTGCGAATGCTGTACCTGGTACATGGAGGGGATTAGAGAAGGAAACGTTTAAAGGGAGAATGCATCAAAGAAAAATCGTTTTTAGAGTTGGCCAATTTTAGATTCTCTCCAACCATGCAAACTTTTAGTTGAAAGGCGCATTTATGTAACAGTGAATATTACCAATTCTTAATAACCCTTGGATGTCTTGATGAATTATTTCAGCTTCGAGCATCTGGCATTTTTAACCCTTTAAAATTGTAATATTTAAATTCCAAAAGGTAAAAAATAATTTAAGAAAGATATAGGAGCATGAAGACAGAAGATATACGGTGAATATATCTGTTGCTCAAATGATATCATTAAAGAAAAAACAGCTAACGTACACAGGGGTGACTTTCACTAGTTCTTTGTGTGTTTGTTGGACCAGACTATTGTGTACAGATGAATACACTGAGGCAGCGCACATGGGATGGGAGAACTGCTGCTCGGTGTTGAGCTATTTCACTAAGGAAACAGTAGGAGGTTGGAACACACAGCCTGATGGGGGCAGAGCCAGCTTCCTGGTGGCTGCTGAGCTGTCCATTGGCAGCTGACCAAGCAGATTTGACGTCCCCGTAAGTGGTAACAGGATTATACCTGGCACTGCAAGGGAGGCTCTGGGCTCTTCTTATCTGACGCTAACCAGGCTCACATCAGGCACAGTTTCTCTAACATTTTACTGTTGTTTTTTTCTACAGATAATAAAGGGGTACATTAAAATGCAGACACACATCCACACACACACGTGCTTTACAGAATGCACACACCAAACCCGCATGCTTTTTAGGCAGTAACAGATGAAAAACAGCCATCATATCATTATCCTTTATTTTAATCTCTCACTGGCCCTAAGAATGACATGTACCTCCACTCATGTACACACACACACACACACACACACACACACACACACACATCCTAGCCCACACAAACACAGAAAAGCCATCACAAATGAACAAGAACTACCTATTCAAAACGCAACAGGACAAGAATAACAATAAAACATGGACACCCTGGCCAACCATTGAGGAACACATTGCATAGAATCACTCAAAAAGGGACAAAGATTTCTCCCCAAACAGTTGAGTATAATCTCTTACAGACTAAATAATTTCTCAGTATTGTTGTAATATATTACATAAAAATGGTAACAAGTCTACTTTGACGTGGTAACCACTGCTTCAACAACCTACCAGCAGTAGCTCCCAAATGAAAATCCTGTTGGGGAAAATGAGGAATCTTACTTTTCCTTCAAAACTGTATGAGATGGAGGTGGGGATGGGTGAAGAATGAGGCAATCAGTAGGGGGCGCTCAGGGGAAGGGTGTAGTGAAAGGGCTTCTGGGATTGCGCCCAAAGCCCTCTGGCTGTCCTGGTTCTAGCACTCCTAATTACTATGTGATTTGGTACAAATTGCTTTACCTCTCGGACCCTGTAAAACAGGAGGAAAAATGCCTTCCTCACAGGGTTATCATGAAAATTAAATGGGATAATAATATATGTGAGAATGCATTGTAAAATAGAAAGCACTTTCCGTATGTGTTCCAACACATACAAATAGTAAGTGATCCTGCTGGTTGGAGAGAAAGAGAAATCATAGACACCAATTGTGCTGTGCACAGGCTCATTTCCAGAAAACGGTTCTAAAGAAGAAAATGAAAAGGTTAGAGGGCAGGAAGAAGGAAGAGGAACTGTGACTTCCCAGATTCACGGTGACGTATTTTCGTTGTCCTTGTAATGCCCATCTATGGGAATGGTGCCTTCGGAAACTCTGATGGCCAGAGTCTTTTCCTAACCCTGGCTGTTGAACACAATCAACAAAGTGTTTGGGGATTTCAAGCTGAAAAAAAAAGTTGATATAAAGCAAATTACACTGCATTAAGTAAAAATATTAAGTGTGCTCCCTTTACTATAAGTCATTTAAAAAAAAAAGTGGGCTACGGATATTTCTAAATTCAATAGCTAGGGAACCTTCTACCGGATCAAGTGACGTCAGAAAAGTAAGGCAGCTTCTCAGATGAGAACTCTGGACTCTGGTGTTGGGTTTTATACCTCAGCTCTGCCGACAGGGCCTGCTGTTGGGGGCTCAGTGGGGGGATCACTGGGGGGTGCTAGAAACTGTGCACTGCCTGAGCCTCCTGTCTGGGAATTTTTCTTACCATTACTCCAATGCTTCCATAACCCACTAACCCACTTCCATAATTTGCAATAACGGAGCAAATGAACAGTGAACACCAACCCCCTTTTGGGGGGAATCAGACATGAGGAAGCTGTAGGCAGAGAGATCAAGCAATCAAGTTTGGAGTGAGGGTCAGGCGAAGATAGAAACATCATCAGTGCAAATCCTGCCAGCTTCCTTGGCATTCTTGCTTCTGATTGTACATTGTTATCTCAGTTCTAGTTCATTTTTTCCCAAAAATTTTCCCAGGAATAGGGATCCTACACATCAAACAAGGTTAAAGAGCCTAGGCAGAAATGACAGAGGGACTGGCCTCAGCTTTCAAGCAAATTTGGTGACGCCATTGTGCCCTGACCGCAGGCCCACCAGGGGTTGCAGAAGCCCCTTCCCACTATGCCAGGGGCCATTTGCAATCTGGGGAATGTGGTGTTTCATGGTGAGAAAATAGCCCCCAAACCTACTGGGTCTCTCATGTGGGTGAGCCATTCCTAACGTTTCTCCGGGGTGCCGAGATTGTACCCCCCCCTTCCCCACTTCCCACCCCTGGCTGATCTGAGTGTGCGTGTTCCCAGGAGCACTGATTTCCACATGGATCTGGGGACCATGGTGACAGGCAGATCTTTTGCTGGCCGCCCTGCACAGGTCCTTCCTGATCCCCGCATGCCAGCTGAAAGGGCATCCCTTACCAGACAGAGCTGGTGCTTCCCCAGTCAGTTCCTCCTGAAATCTAATGCCCGCCCCCCCAGTCCCAGAGCCAGCCACAGGCTCCAGTGCAGCATAGGTCCTGCACGTATATTGGCCACCACATATAATCACTTAGAAAAAAAAAATCGCTAAGCTCTG